GATTGGCTAAATCTATGGTAGCCATCTTGGATGGTACACACACACAGTTCTGCGTATTTCGAACATCAAATACATTGCGGTTAGCGCTCTAGTATTCTTATTATACCTCTATGTTCTGTCTCTAAATTTACTTTCTCGTTGGTGGCGCTGTCCAGAATGAGAAAAATAATAAAAAAATAAGAGACTTGTGGCAAGTATACTAAAGCGCGTATTCCTGGTTGAGTTCTGTTTTTTCAGTCGTTTAATCTCATTGACACTCGGTAAATGTCCAATGCTTATTTTATTGGTCAACGTTTCAACTATGCACTGCTTTAGTATAATATTTTCTTTACATTCATGATTAGAGTAAAGAATTTGCTTAATATGATATTGGCCTAATTCTGATCCTATTGTGTTAGGAGTTAGTCTTTTTTTTTTCTCGTCTAAAACCATTTCATTACAAACGATTATTAGATACATAGAAAATTTGATTGCCTTGAACTGTGCTTATTCAAATATTGACTACCTCAATATTTTAATTATTTTTAATTTGCCTGTATATCTTTAAAAACCTATTTTTCAATATTTTAGATATTAACGAATGTGATTCCAGTCCGTGTCAGAACGGAGAAGTTTGTATCGATGGTGTTAATATATACACATGTGAATGCTTATTTATTTTTATCGGTACCTTTTGTCAAACAAGTATGAAATATCTATATACATTTTCATTTCATTTTTATTTAATTCCAATGCCCGAATTTGGTAATCCTACTAAGCCACCACTCTTCTTGACTTATAAACAGGACAAAATAATATCCTTATTTTTTGTAAATGATATGTATATACGGTAGCTCTCAGTCCAGAACAATACCATACTCTATACAATATAATTCTAAACAATTAAAAATACAACAATATAATACGACGATATAATGTGTTTTTATTTTAAAGACCGTCATACAGTACATTTAAGTTAAAAATAATTGTTTTGTGGATGGCTTAAAAAATGTTTCATTAAATTTTATTTTAACCTAAAATTTCTATACCCCTTTTCAGACATAACAAAAGCCACAACTGTTTCTCAAACTCACGTAAGTCATTAAGCCATACTGCATGTCTTTCAGATTGTTTACTGTTTTATATTGTTTGATTATATTGACAGAATGAATGATTAGAGTTCTTGATTGCTTGATTGATTGGTGAGATTATATTCACATGCCTTTTTTTTAGTTTTTAAACGTTTATTCATAAACTACAATTGACTGACTTTGATAGGAGAATCAACTTCAATATTATGAAACTCGTTAATATTTTTAAACGTACAGAGACTATAAAACACTCGTCCTTACTAGAACAATTTATACTGTGAAAGGGTCTTTAATATATAGACTACAAGTCCACAGTAACCTTTCACAGTATATTTAACTAAAGACTCGATGAAATTCTTCCAAGAACAATTTACGTTTTCATTAATTACATTTTTTTTCTAAAGAGGCATGACACTATTAACACATATAGCTATTTACTGAGTGACGTTGCAAACATATTTTCTCCTTCTGACGATTTGGAAGAATTGCAAGCATTATACGAGTTGGAACACATGTTACTGGAAACTGAATGGAACTCATCTTTGGAGACTATTATTGATTTTTCAAGGGTAGGTTAACACCATACTGATAACAACGATTTCAACCAGTGGCGTAACAAAGAGGACCCTGGCTAGGGCTTCTCTGGGCATTAATGCCCCAGGTGCTGGGGGCTGCCAGTCTGGTAAGTGGCGGCGCTACCGGGGGGGGGGGCACGGGGGAATTTTTTCCCAGACAATTTTCTTGCCCCCACCCCCCAAAAAAGAGAAAAAACCACAAGGAAGGAAACAAATGTTATATATCTTCTTCATATTAGTAAACTGATCTACCTATAAAATCGATTAAATAAGCCTCTGAAACACCTATATTGTCATATTTTTCGGTGGCTTCACCCCAATGGACCTCTGGCCACCCCCGGCATATTCCCCCTAAAATTTTACGTTGCCCTCACCTCCCCAGATTTCCGACGCAGAGTTGGGTACAGAGCTAAGCCTTTTTCCGTTTCCGCGTTGACATCATTTAATGGCGTATTTTTATGTGTTTTCTTACATGTTAAGGGGTCCCGCTCGACAGATTTGGGACCCATGGTACTGGAAAAAGTATTGATTAATATTCCAGAGGCCCCTTGAGGTCGGGGCCACTGGCTTTAGCCAATGTGAAGTCACAGATGTTACGCCACTGACATCAAGACTAGTTCAAATTATATTTTTTCCTGTTTAATCCACAAAGTAAAACAAAAATAGAAATTAAAAAATATATATATATAAAAGAAAAACAAAACAAGTAGATCTGAAACTCTACAAATGTTTTAAGTTTTGTAACCAATGCTTTCACTAATTGATTCTTAGGAAATCCAGAATGTATCATTATTGCTATTTTCATCGGATTCGGTCAAGGTAGGCTGCTTTCTATTTCATATCCTTATTCCAGGTTGTAATTTTAACCTCTGGAATACGTTGGAACAGCGCCTCTAGCGAGAGAAGCAAACGTAATTCTATGTGTGCTGGCGCTCTTACAAAAAAAAAATATATACTGCGAGCCCTGGCGTATAGCTAAAATCGATGTGTACATTGTATTTATGAGTGATGTCTGACATAGAAAATCAGCAGACACACACACAAAATAAACTATGTTTAATTTATTTTTTTTAAATTATACCATAGTTTTATCGTGTCAGATTAACCAATGAATATTTGTATATACACCACACTTTCGGAGCTGAGCTAAAACTACTACAGTATGTCTGAAAAATGTAGATCATATACAGCTGTAGACTGTAAAATTGGGCCGACATAAATCGATAATGTGTGTGCTGAATACACATTAAATAAAAAATTATTATAACCCAATAAAAGTCTATACGTCGAATCATGGTCTCCCTCCCATTATTCGAAGTAACAATCTACCTTATTTAAACATTAATCTGTACATCTGTTGGGCAATACGAATTTATTGCTCTGTACACAGCCAATATATTTGTACAAACACTTCCCTTTTGAGTATAAAGATATCTTCTAGTAATTCAAATAATATATATTTTCTCTTATTTATAATATATATATATAATTATATAATAATATAATTATTTTGATTTTTTTTTCAGACGACAGAAGATACGTTTAAGATTGTATCAATGAATGAATTCTTATTCAAACTAGTGGGCTCAAATTTGCCTGAAAATATTGGAATTGATCTTACCTCAGATCATCAATGTACGTCATTGGAAACTAATTCAGGAGAAAAGAATCGAAATGAGTAATTTTTAATATACGCATAATACAATCTGATATAAATATTACTATAAACTTATCAATATTATTGATAAAGATGCATACTTTAATAATGATGTGTAGTAGAAAAAAAATGTGTATACGTATAAATGTGTTAAGTATAAATCACGTTTTAATCATTTCGGTTTTAGCTGTACATGTACAGAAGTTATCATCGACTAATACCAAGTTTGAATTTGACATCCAAGGTGGAGAAAATTGTGAAAGGTGTAGTGTGTCTCTCTCTTTTATGCCTCCAATTGGTCAGTGATTGTTTTTTATTTATTTTAAAATAACGTCAATTGTATTTTTGTATCAGTTTTAAATTACTTAAGATTTTAATTAAGATATTTAGGCCTATTCTCATGCTTTTAATGACCATTTTTCTAAAACAAATTGTAAGAATTCAGTTTTTTACTGCAAGTGCAATTATTTTGAATAAAATGCCGTTATGAATGAATGAATGAACTTGATAATTTGATATTTGTTAAATTGCAGTACAACATTTGGTTGTACTAGGCAATCAAATAGTCTTGGACCGGATAGACGTTATTATTTTATACAAATTTCAGTAATTGTGGTGTCAATTATTTTGGGTCTATCAACATTATTATTTGACATAAGATGTATGATGCAATTAATTATGCTAATGAATCTGTATCGGCCTTACCATTTTTGGGAATTTTCAGATGACTTTACTATTTTCGTCATCATATATCAAGACCTTCCACTATTTGTTGGAACCGCCGATATCACGTATGTAGTCTTGTACAGCATTATTTCATTATTCTTTATAGGCAAAATAGTGATGTGTACTCTAAAATACTGCGTACAGGGCTGTTTGTGTAACAATTCACTTTTTTTAAAACTAGTGATTTTTATTCTTAGAATAGTTAGAAATTTGCAAAATAATGTGGAGTTTCATTAATTTTATGTGTCACTCATTGAAGCTAACCATACAAATCATTCTTTTGCTCGTTATTCAATTTTCTACATTCAGACATTACTTTTATAGCATACTTAATAAAGCCATTTTATTGCTAAGACTAAAATGCAATGAAAGCAAACCATTTGTAAAAAAGGTGCACGCAAAAACCAAAAGGCAAAAACGTTCAACACGTAGTATTTAGTTTAAAATGACTTACCGTATTCTATATAAAAATTATCATTTTTTTACCGACAATTATTATATGATACGAAACTTTTCTGTAAGTTTATTTTTTGATCTGAAATCAGTTCTGCATGACGTAAAAGTATGTCTTGTTAAAAAAAAGTATCAGTGGATATTGTTGCGTTGTTTACAGGACGTCGGCTGCTAATGAGATTGAGGACAGTCTCATTTTCGCGTCTGGAATTCTGACTATCACCCTCTACGACTTATCTCTTCAGAAGATACCGATATCTGTAAATTTCACCATTCATCATTTGGAGGTAGTTCCTAAATTAATTATATTTTGTTATACGATATTGCCTACCCCTTTTAGTATAATTAAAAGTAGTAGTTTAGTGTGATTTTCTTTGTCCAGTGTTTTCTGTCCGGTTTGCTCTTGTCTGGAACAGCTTAAAATAAGCCATTTTAGTGTACATTGGTTGGTCAAGAGGGAAGCTAGAACTATTTCAGCCTCTTTAAAATCTATTGTGGTCATTCTGTTTGTTATTCACTAGTTTCTTCATTTTTAAAAACGTATAAACTTAAGGTAATGTTTGTGTATTTCTTCATTCTTACAGAATGTAACGGAAGATATATATTCTGGAGGACTTATAACCCAATGCGCTTTTTGGCATGAAGAAGATAAGTAAGTCTTGAGAAATACAACAAAATAATTGAACGAGGATTGTACACATTTGGGTTTTGTGAGCAACTACAATAAACCTACGACATCCCCGATCACTTTTGTAAAGAAAAAACAGATCCATGCACAGATACACGTGTAACCTTATTGTAATCCGATATGGAGAAACACTACTACTATAGTTAAGGTTTAAGTGAAGTCCAATGCTCACTTATTTTCATTTTGAATATTACGAGCCACTTCTCTTGATTGTACCCTTCTGACTCCTGCACATATCGTCGTCACTTCAGAATAAACCATTAATCGTTTACAAAATTTTACATTATTTAGGCGATAAATCAGTAAATGGGTTATGGTTAAGTGGTTAAAAATAGTTTAACAGAAGACTCTTTAAACAGGGTGTGGTCTGAGACCGGTTGCCAAACTGTGCACGAACAAGATTCACCCAACTCGACAAAATGTGTCTGTGATCACACTACGAGCTACGCTCTACTAGTAGGAAATGACGTGATTTCAACTACGAATCGGGCAATATCGATGTTGACTACAATCCTTTGTTGTTGTTCTGTTTGTTGCTTGATTGTAATGTTGTTGATCTACGTGTCCTTTGAGTAAGTGTTTTAGTGAATCTTTTAAAAACCGTTCACAACATGTTTAAACTAATGATGGCTCTTATTGCCAGCTGGAAGGAAAATCTATAAAGAAAGTTGCATAACATATAAAACAAATAAAATCTAGATGAGGTGTAGGTTGGTGATTAATATGATTGCCTTTTAATTTTAAACGTTTTTAGTACAAAATATGTTAGTCATAATTTTATTTTTTTGAGAGACTAAAGCCTATTTTTCATAAAACGCTTAAATGCGTTGCTGTCCCGACGCAATCAGGAAAGCTCCTCTGTTCGACCGACAAATCAGCGTCGCCGTCAGCTGTCGACGAATGCTTGTATCGACTTTATAGAATCCAGGTCAAAGCCTCATCAAAATACATTAATATTAAGCAATTAGAAGCATCTTCTAATTGGCGAGATTTGTCATTGTTTATAAAAGAAAAAAATTAATGAAAAATAAATTTGTATGCTTTTTTTCTATATTCATTTTTTACTTGTTTTTAAAGGGCTTTGAGGAATTCTGAGAAAAATCACATCCACAAAAATTTACTGGTGGCACTGTTCCTTGCGCAGGTGTTGTTTTTGACTGCCGTAGAGAACACGTCGAGTAAGGTGGGTTAATGAAGAAATAATATGAAATTTTAAAACATTTTCAAAAGTTTTTACAATATATAATTCCTAACGTTTTTATTTTAGAAGGTTTACATTAATTGGCTTATAATAAAGTAGGACATTCGCCTCACATATAGAATTTTGTTTTTCCAAAGATGAGATGAATTTCTTGATTTGGTGATTGAATGATTTGAAAATGATATTTTATAGCTTAATCAGACTTTGTTTAAAATCATATTTGACATAAATATACAATTTATGTCAAATATACAATTATTAATGGTTACTATTTAACCATACCAAAAACTTAAATCAATTATTTTGGTTACGCTTGGCCTCTAATAAAAATACTTTCGACCCATCCTGATTTCTAAATGATGCTTAGACAGCACAATATATTTTGGCCTAATGATCTTGTTAATTTGATTTCACTACAGGGAGTATGTACTGTAGTTGCCGTTGTTCTCCACTACTTGTATCTCTCTGTTTTTACCTGGATGACTATCGAAGGTTTAAACTTGTACTTAAAGATAGTACGTGTTTTCAACTCAGATCTTTTGAGCATGCGTGCATATATGGTGATAGGTTGGGGTGTTCCTATTCTTATTGTTGCGATTGCAGTCACTTGCAACATCGAAGGGTATGGCATGATCAACGGTGAGGAGCAGTACATGTAAGTGACTAAATCTGAACACTTGAGACGTAAAGTATGCCTTAAATTATGGGATTAAAGTCAAAGCAGAATAATTTATGCAGGCCTGCTAAATCATGGCAAGCTTCAACTGATCTCTTCAGTTGGCAATTCCAGCGAATAGATTGTTCTGGAATATCATCAAGTCAATTTGACAAACGTCCAATTATAAATGAACCAGGAATACGCGCTCGTCCCACAAAGGCACTTGTTGACCTACAAACGCACATGTTTTGTGGGACCTAAGCAAAGATAATAAATAGCAGAAGATAGAGCAGCTTCCCAAGGTAGTGGAACATCCGTTCCAAAGGTATGTGGGTACACGGAGAGCAATTTTACCCCGTCCGCGCGGCGGCGCTATATAGAAATAATAAACAGCAATAAAGGCGCCGCTCTGGTTCGTTTGTTTCTTGTAGTTTCTCCACTTTGTAAAATGTTCAAATTTTACTATATCCGCTTGAGGGCGGATGTTCCATCAATTTTAATACAAATACGCGGAGCAGCTCATTCTTCTGCTATTTATGTTCTTTGACCTAAGCAATATCCATGGGTGGGGCTTAGCGGGCAGGTCTATTGCTCATCCAAACTCAAATGTTTAGACTGTTTTGATCAGTGAGCAGCGATACTGTTATAGTGGGTTTTTGTTTTAGCTTTTGAAGTAGCTGTTGTTTAAATTATTGCTGTTGTTATTGTCAATTTGAATTTCAGATGCTGGATAGACATTAAGAGTCCCCTTTTGTATGCATTCATTGTTCCTGTGTTTATTGCAGTGCTGGTAAGAGTTTCTGTTATATTAAATCATTGTTGTGTTATTGATACTTTGTATTATATTTTTATTGTTTAAGTCTTGTTTTTATTATTTAAAAAATAAGTATCGATAAACTTAATTATGTAAACTCACATATAACTATAATAATAATAATAATAATAATAATAATAATAATAATAATAATAATAGTGTAATATGATATCTAAGATTAATATTACCGAATGTTTATATATCTTTAAGGTAAATAGTGTTGTATCGATATTCGTTTGGCGAATAATTTACTTAAAAACCGACAGTAACAACAGATGGAAAGATGCAAGGTATATTATCATTATCATCATTTTAATAGTATTAATATTGTTATCATATTTACTATGCATTGCTAATTAGGAAAAGTACTATTATCTTGATAATGAAAAATATATATTTTTTTCAATGTCGGAAATTATATACTTTTAGATCGTCTTTGAAAGGCGTGATTATGCTGTCACCCATTCTTGGGTTGCCGTGGATATTCGGTTTGTTTGCTCGAAATTCGAGTGTTGCCATAGGAACTATTTTCACCGTTTGCAATGCTCCACAAGGGGTGTTTCTCTTTTTCACGCACTGCCTGTTTAGTAATGAGGTTCGTCAACAATCTTATTACGTTTTGCACATTTAACTATTTTATGTTATACTAACGTTGCAGTTTGGTTTTTAAACTTTTCTTACAACCATAAATATTTTTAAACGTAATTATTTCTTGACTAAATAACGTTAAATACGTTGCTACAACTATTACTACTATTCTGTTCTTCAGGCACTGCCTGTTTAGTAAAGAGGTTCGTCACCATTCTTCATTTAATAGCTATCTTGTTTTTAAGGCCTATGTTTATTATTTTAATTGTATAAAGTACACAGCTAGCAATTTGTTGTTAATATGCTGCATTTGATATTTAAACGTAGTGTTTTTTTTTTTTTTTTTTTTTTTTTTTTTTTTTTTGTAGAACTACCTTAATAAGTATTTACAACGTATTTCTTGACTAAAGTTAGAAACGTTGCTGCAACAATTTTCGGAAATAAACATACCTTAATCTTCACAATGTTTGCGATTTTTCTGTTTTGGATAAAGATGTCACAATGTCATTTCATTGTTTGTCCAGAAAAAAAATATATAAGTAAAAATAATGCATTTATATAAAAATATAAATTTTCTGAGATTTTTTAAAAATCATCTTTTAAAATTGTAAACGTATTCTAATAATCATAAATTCATTTTATAAATACTGTTTAGGTGAGAACGGCAATGAAGATGCATTGGTCCAAGAGAAAGGCTCGGTTTAGTGTTCAGCCGCAAACAGTAAGCGCCCTCACCGATAATAATCAATTGATATTTTACCAAATGTATTGAAAACTTATGACCAAAGTTCGATCACCAAAACCTAAAATACATTAAAATGAACGTTACTCCGAATAAAGAGAGGGAGGCCATGATTCAACGTTTCGACCTTTATGAGAAAACATAGACAGTGAATACAAAAAATGCTACAATATTTAAATTAGGGGATTAAAAGCTAGTACAATAACAATGGTGATTAAGCATAATGGTGATTATACATTAATACTAGTAAAGTTAAATACATCTACTGTAATCATAAGTTTATATACATACTTATGGAAGAATACATCTTATATATGTACCGTTTCAATTCACATTATTTCATTGCATTGTTCCGCTTGCTGTTTCTGGTTTTTTTTCCGTGCATCAAAATTACTTTATATACACAAGTATCTCTTTCGAGATCCAGCAGGCTGAAAATAATGCACGGAAAGGGCGTATCTTTTATAGAACTGTATCTTGCTGTTTCTTGGTTTTTTCCTGCCTTAAAATTACTTTATAATATGTAGGCCTACTGTATATAAATAGATAATAAATGGTAGTAACAGTGCTTCAATTTAAAATATAACTATACCTGTTAGTATTTCATAGAAACAATGTTGTTGTAAATAACCACATCATATGAATTCTCGACCATCAATATTTTCTTAATCAGACGATCAAACAACTATTCAATGCTTGAAGTATAATGAAACCATTTCCACGAAAAAAATAGACTCAAAAAATGTACGTCTATGCTCTCTTTTTTTTTTCAGAAAAGTTCAAACGTACTGCCTTCCGAACAGAATTAGGCACGGACCAAGAACGTTTGATCCCCAAGTTACCATTCTGTACTTAAGTACAGTTCCGAATTGAGGAATTCAAAATAGTGGGGCCCAAGTTACAGTGTCGGCGCCAGCGGGGGTGGGGGGGGGGCAGCAGGAACTTAAGCCCCCCCCCCCCCCCCACCAGACAGGTCAAGCCCCGCCCCATCAGACAGAGCTTGTCGGGCAGTCGGACTAAAAAATATATAAAAATAGCCCAAGCCAAGCCAACACATGTCTGTCACAATCATGAGAATGTGATTTCTGGCCAGCCAGAGGTTCCTATTCTTAAAAAAATATCATTTTGAAGAGGGAACACCCACTCAAATCCTTTCCCCAGCTCGGGCCTACGAGCCCAAGTCCCACCTGTCAGACAGCTACTTTTCTTTATCTCCAATTCTTTTTTAATATTGAAAAATGATGGACTCCGGTCGGCTGCCCCTCTCCCTAATCTGCCCTATAAAACAGAATCATATAAAAATCTGACGGATACAGTAAATATCCATAATTATGTTGACTTTAGGGTAGGCCTATTTAGAGTTTATATTTTTTGTGCCGTTTTAAGTTGTTTTTAACATTTGAAATGTAGTCTATCTTAATAATTTATTTTGAAATTATTTTATCAATTTATTATTAAAACAAAAGTGTAGTAAAAAAAAGTAATATATATTGTTACTTATCGATTGTCTAGTTATCTGATAAAATAGAAATACATTGTTGTTACCACTGGATCGACAATTTTTTTTTCACTTTACATCATGTGCTTGAATCCACCTGAACTTGGTAGAAGCTACGACTTAGAACCGGCAGAAAAGAAGTGCACTTAGAATTAATTAGTTGATATGAAGATACCAGCTTGAACCTGCACAAAATAAGTACACTTAAAACTACTTGTATAGCAATTATTCATAGGCCTGTTCACAGTAATATATCAACCTTTGATTTTAATTGTAAAAAGTAACAACGGTTTTGAGCACTTTATTACATACATTTATATTTAAAACAAACATTAAGAAATTATTCTATAAGAATACCAAATACATATTGTATACAATGTCAAATCAACATAATTGAAGATTATACATATTTACATGACTGTTTATATTGTTCCAGTTAATTACAATGGCATAACATTATAAAACAATGATAACAATTATGATAAAACAATTATGAAAATAATATTAGTTAATACAATGCTTATAAATGTGATTTTTATAGAAGGTAATGATCCACTTTGAAGATAGTGGCGATTTATTTGTAATTGATACATTTTAAACTATGTTATGTGAGAATGTAGTATATCAACAATTTTACTGTACTATTGATGTTTTTAATTGTGTCTCTTCTCACTTTATATGAATTGTGTATTTCAAGACATTTGTTTTGCAAAAAAAATATATATAATCTTGAATTTTGGTTAATCTTGAACAGTCACTTATCTATTAATAGATAATAATGAAAATTAGTAAATCTTGTTATAGTAATAGGAGGTTGGTCACTTTGTTTTGTACAGTAATAGCATTTTGATACTCACATTTGGTGACGTTCAATTCCGTAATAATTTGATAACAAGCAATCACATGAATAAGCTTAGATCGCTTTTGTTTAGTATAAAGTTAATATAGAAACATTCTGCGCGCGCTCCCAAACAAAGTTTTAATTTGCTTTAATTTCATTTTAGTATTAATGATTGAATTGTCTGAATATATATTTGATTGAATTCTTAACGTATAATAACGTGTGTATGTTTGATCTATTTGAGATTTTTGTTACGAGATGTTTTAAAGCTTCGTTGCCACCGAATACGCCTAACATCTACGTTGGATATATTGATGAATATAGATAGCTACTTTCCTATAAAATTTTATTCTTTGTATTTTATTGTATTTTATTCCTTTTGGCAGGGAAAAAAAAAAAAAATTGAATAAAAAATTAAAAAACAAAAAAAAAACCGAAACACAGCACAAATTACAATACAACATATCATGGTAATAAATTACAGAAAAACTCACATCAGTGCAAATAAATAGCAAAAGCGATAGAACCAGCAACCCAAAAGTGATTGAAAGTGAAAAAAAAAATGATAATGATTTTATCGTTACAGTTTCGTTTCGATTATTAAACTTTCTCCACTCATAATACATAATAAAACAATTTACATAACAATAGTCTTTTAAAATGTATTGACAATACATTAAACAAAAATT